ACTTCATAGCCCATTGGTTTTTCTGTTCCTTTGGTCTTTTATGGCCAATCACTTCCAATACCATGTAGCCTGTACCAGTCTTTTAAATTTTGGCTTAGGCATCACCTTTGTGAAGCCTTTCTGTCTCTCCTGCCCCTCAGTCCTTCAGAAGAATCACTCTTCTCTGCCCTTCAGCACATCTCAGTCATACTTCTGTCACTGTTTTAAAGATATGATACAGACCGAAAGCAACAATTATCCCTAATCAAAGGAAACTGCCTGAAGATTGGGCCATATCGCAGCAAGCACTGTCAGTGCCTAGAGTTAGATATCTGATAGGCACAGAAAGTAATATGGGGATAAGAAAAAGCAAAGGCTTTTAAACTAAACTCAAGCTCAAACTACATCTTCACCATTTATCAATTATATGATCTAGGGTAAGTCATGAAACGTCCAAGGTCCAGACTTTTCTTCTGTAAGATACAGACAGTAGTATCCATCTCTCTAGATTGCCATGCAGATCAAAAGAGAACATATGCCTGGAATATGACAAAGAGTGCAATAGCAGTGTTCAAAACTCTTGCTACAACATAAGTTCTGTTTCTTAATGGTTGTAAAGAAGCTCTTTATTGTACATGAACCTCAGTTTCCTTATCTGTGAAATGATGATAGCTTGCTGATCTAACGGGGCTGTTGAAGTTAAGGCTAAATAAGAACATATGGATGAAATGTCTAGCATGCTGTCTGGAGTAGGCAGAACTCATCAAACAGAAGGTATAGGAATATTATTCAACTAAATTTCCTACCTGTGGATAAAATCAAGGGATTCAATATTATTCAGTTCCAAGAGAAGAAGGACAAAAATTAAGAATAGGGGATAATAGTTTCACAAGCAACAAAACAGTAAATTATTCAGGTGACGCTAGCCGAGGATAAATTTTTCCAAAACAACACTAAATCAATTGTACACCAACATGGAAGAATATGAATCTCATACCAAACACAAAAATGAATTCTGAATGGACTGAAGATCTAAACATAAAAGGTAAAACAGTAAAGCTTCTAGAAGAGAATAAATGAGAATTTCTTAGGACCTTGGGACAGGGCTAAGATCTCTTAACAGACCAAAACAACTAAATAAAGCAAGAGCACTGCTAAGCTGGTTACATACAAAAATGAAGACACAACGAACAGAGAAGAATGCCTGCAAGTCATAAACACTAGACAACCTGAAAGGAAAGTGGACATGAGGTTTGTATCAACTTTTCACAAAGGAAGAAATTCAAATAGCTAACAAGCCTTTGAAAAACAAAGTTGGAAGGCTGGGCATAGTGGCCTTTAATCCTAGCACTTGTGAAATTAAGGCCAGCCTGGCCTTCAGATAATACCATCCCAAAGACACAAAGACACAAAGACACAAAGACAGACAGACAGACAGACAGACAGACACACACACACACACACACACACACACACACACACACACAAAACCCAAATTGGTCCTATTTCATCTCAGATGTTATTTGTCCTTTTCAGTGTGCTGACATTTGCAATGGGTATGAAAGCCATGGTGGTGGTGAATTATTTGACAGTAGTACAGACCAAGGCTGCGGCACTCATCCAGCACTCACACACCCTGCCTCACCACCGCAAACCACATCCAGTTTCCTCTTAGAGTGTCCTTGATAGGCGACTAAAATGACCAAGTTTTCTAAAATGTCAGTCTTTGAGCCTATCTTTTTAATATTATGTATAATATAATGGGAAATATCACATGCATAAAGACTTTTATTACATACTACTTTCTTGAAAAAAAGTCACTGTTTTAAACTGTTAACAGAACTAGCTATCTTTTAAGGAAAACCATTATTACTTGAAAGACTAGCAGACAAACCAGGGCTATTCAGACTTGGCTATATATCTGGTAATTTCTCCAAAAGAAGTGACCTGTTGCTTAAAAGAAAATAATAGGCAGTATCCGTTACTAATTATAAAACGCAAGTTTCCAAGCAAAACCCAGCAAGCTGGAAATTTGTATTCATCATTTGCTTAACAATGTCCTAGTACTTTTCTGGCATTAGAAATATTAATGAGGGACTGGAGAGATGGTTCAGCAGTTAAGAGCACTGGCTGTTCTTGCAGAAGACCTGGGTTTTATTCCCAGTACCCACATGGCAGCTTACAACTGTTTGTAACTTCAGTTCCAGGGGAATCCAATGCCCTCTTCTGACCTCTGCAGGCATTGCATGACATGGGTACACTGACACACATGCAGGCAATACACTCATATTCGTAAAATAAAACAATTTAAAAATTAGTGAATGTGATTTTTTTGATATTTTGAAATAAAATACATCAGCTTTCAGATCTATGATCTCACAATACTTTATAAATGCCTAAATAAATGCTCTTCTGATCTCATGCATGAGAAGATCCATTCAAGAGATATGACAAGATGAGCAGCCTCTAAGGCAACAGGCACAAAGAAAGTTCATGGATATGGAGTTAAGAGTCTACATTATAACTAACTCTTAAAAAAAAATCACTACTTGTCAATATTTGGTGTAATAGTATAGAATAACCACAAAGGAGGATATTTGGAAAGGTTACTATTCTATGACTCCTCTTACCCCAGTAACCTATCCATGTAAGTCTTCAACAGAAACAACCTGTCACCAAAGACTGGAGGCAGAAGCAGAATGAGAAGATGGAGTGTAGCTCAGAGGTACCATGTATTTATCAGCATACATGAGACCCTAAGTTCCATCTCCAGCATTAGAAAAAGGGGGAAAACAAGTACAAAGAGGAAAGGGAAGAAGGGAAAATGAATGTAGCTGTCTTCTTTTCTGTGTGATTGTATACACACAGAGATAGGAGATAGATAGATGATAGCTAGATGACAGACAGATGATAGATAGACGATAGATATAGATAGATAGATAGATAGATAGATAGATAGATAGATAGATAGATAGATAGATAGATAGATAGATAGACAGATGATAGAGTTCATGCTTACAAAGAAAAACTGGAATTGCTTAAAATATGCCTCCATGCATACATGAAGGTTAGGCAAATCATAGCATATCAGTAAAACAAAATACCAGATATTACAAAAGAGATGCTTAGCATTTTGTTTGTTTTTGTTTGCTTGTTTTTGTTTTTTGAGACATGGTTTTCCTCTGTAGCCCCAGCTGGTCTAATGTTCTCTATGTAGACTAGGCTGTCTTTAATCTCTGAGATCCACCTGTTTCTGCCTCCCAAATGCTGGGATTAAATGTGTGCACCACTACACGTGGATTTTGTTTTGTTTGATGCTTAGCATTTTAATAAATAGATTATGAAACTTTGAAAAGTAGTATAGAATACAAACTATTAAAAATTACATCCTGATTAGGATTAAATGTAAGTTTAGAATGACCTAAATAAGAGTTTTATACTGAAGATTTACTTTTAGTGAAGCTGGATTAGCATAGGAAAATTTGTTTTTTAAAACAAGGGAAAGGATTTGAGGCAATTTCCTAACTCTCTGAGGATAGATGGAACCAGGGGAAGTGGACTAAATTTATAATAACAATTAAGTTAGGCTTACCATGCACACATACACATATACACACACACACACACACACACACACACTTTACAGTTTTCAGTACCTCCTAGAGTACTCAGAACACAGCCCCTATCTACCCAACAATTCTCTATTCCAATGGACTCACCTCTCCAGCCATACTCTAAGCTGAATACATTCAATATATCCCTTGACAAAATCCAACATAGCCACTCCACACTTAGAAAAACAAATCTACATGCCCCAGGTGTGGGGCAGGTAAATGCAAGTATGGAAGGGAGGATGAAACATGAGTCTGTGTCATGTGGGAAGGATAGAGGCTGCTAGTTCTATCTACTTAGAGCTGTTCAGTGATGGGTCATTTGCTTCAGGTCTAACTGAATGGGTCTAACAATCTCCCTAATTTGGGGTCTACTCTTAAATCTTGCCACTATACTCAATAAGACCATAGACAGAGCACTTTGATGGGAGTGAGGACACCTGGACCCCAACCTTGACTCTGCCTCTCTATTGGTTGGTGACCTTAGGCAGGACATCTTACCTGTTCTCTTCTGTGAAATAAGTAGGTTACATTATAAGCTTTTCCTGGTCTTTTCAAGTACTTTTTGTTGTTCTCCATTCTTGCTAGAGGAGTCAATATTTTCAAAGATTTTGCCAAATGAAACTGACAATGATAATAATTTAACTTATTCCCTATTTTAACTACCCAAAGGTATACAACTCCAAACTAAAATAAAGTAACAATAGTAGCTAACATTTATTGAGTGCTTATTACATGACCTATAGTGAACCCTCCCGTTACCATACCAACCCTACTGTTACTCCCACACTGTAGGCTCCAGACCAAGAAGTGCTGTGCTAGCTAGACTACAGTGCCCTGGTCTTTGTCCTCTCCACCACAGCAGAAGCTCCAGATCTATTGCTGCTAAACTAATATTCAAAGACATTGGACATGACTTACTTATAGCTATTCTGGCAATCTTTTGAGGTTATCAGAGAAGTGGGAGGGGGCACATAGGGTGGCTGGCAGTGGGAGTAGTGTGGCACAATGAAATGGGGCAGACACTGGGGCTGCATCTTCTCCAGGATGGTGCTTCTGTCCCTTTGCATTTTTCCCCAAAGCCTGGATTAGGGCCCTGTACAAGGAGCTCTGGAATGAGTAACTGTGAATCTTCTGGGCATTAGCCCTGGACCCTCAGGCAGATGAAGAGGCTGTGTGGCCTCTAGAAAGGAGGCAGGTAACATGAGAATGCTGGGTAGTTAGGGTGACTGGTAGCAATGCAAGAACTCATTCATCTATTTATGTCTCCATTTTCTACTCCATATGCCAAGACTTTTGACAATTCTGTTGAAGACACATGTAGGCCAGGAGACATCAAGGGACAGAACGAGATAGATAGTGGGATCCTGTCACAGAAGCATGGGCAGACTGCTAGGGCTCTATACTCACCAAGGAGGCTGCCGGCTGGTGTGAGGATGATGTGGGGGAATACGGAGTGGGTCCACCTCACTGGCAGTGGCAGGTGGGAACTCCCGATGAGGACTGCTTACACGAGCCTTCTCCCACTGCTCATGGATAGGTGTGATAATTCCAGATCTGATCAGAGACCGAAGCTCCTCACTGTTCCTGTAGGTCCTGCAGGAAGGAGATGAGGAGTCAGTTTCCTGCAGTTGGCTGGGAACCTTGTGTACAGAATTCTGTTGGCAGACGCGGTGGCCTTGAGAACTTCTGGCCTTGCGCTTGTCCCATTTTCTGTGGTGGGAACAGGCCGTCTGGCAGATCTGGGCGAAGGGGGCAACAGCCTGGTGCCGTCTCCAAGATTTGGGCCTAAGTTTCTTAGGCATCTGAGTTGCCCCTCCTCATTTACCACTCCATTAGAAAGAGGTGCGGGGAGGGCACAGGGCCTGGACTGGCTGCTCCTCTGTCCCTATGCCACCTCTCCTTTAGCCTCATTATGTGTTCATCACGTGTCATGGGAATAGTCATGAAAGGCAAAGGCTCTGTGGGAGGATGAACCAGCTTTCTGATATGAAGGAGGAGGGAAAGGTTCTGGGGCTCTTGGTCTAGTTCAGACAGTAACTCAGGGGTCCTAGGAAGGTTGCTCCTACCAGCTGCCCCTGAGAGGCTGTGGAAGATAAGTATTTTGAGCTACAGCTAAGGGTTGGAGGTCAGATGAGATGGCACAAAGTGGGCAGGCCTCTAGAGCTCCTTAAAAACTCCGTGTTTACAACAAGCCACTTCCGGACCATAAAGTAAACTTTATACCTGAAAGCCTACAGAGTATGTTCCCTGACCATGTGGAGCCACCATAGAGCTCAAAACAGAAAAGACTTCAAATTCATGAGAATCAAGCAACATGTTTCTAGGTAACTCAGGGATCAAAGAGCAAATCCTGAAAAAGAAAAGAAAACAAAACAAAACCCCCCAAATCCTTAATACTGAATTAAAATGAAAATATAACCATTAAAAAATATATAACAGACAGAGCATTGGAGAGGAAACTTTATGGTATTAAAAGCTTATATCCGCACAGAAGAAAGATCTCAAATCAATAATAAAAAATTTTACCTCAAAATCTGAGAAAAACAGTAAATCAAACCCAAAGCAGGGAGAAGAAAGAACATAAGAGCAGAAATCGATAAAATGGAAAACAAAAAATCAGAAAATGAAACAAAAAGGTGTTCTTCAAGATAATACAACTGAAAACCTCTAGTAAGATTGATACACGACTGAAATGGGATATTACCACAGGTCTAGAGCCACTGAAGGACAGTCAGGGGATGCAAAAAAGAACACAATCCAACTTAGAACAATCAATTCTTTAAAAAATAGATGGTGGGCTAGAGAGATGGCTCAGTAGTTAAGAGCACTGACTGCTCTTGCGGAGGACCTGGTTAGGTTTCTAGCATTCACATGGCAGCTAACAATCATCCTAACTCCAGTTCCAGGGTTATCCAAAGCCTTCTGACTTCCTTGGGCACTGTATTACTTACACACATGCAGGCAATACATTCATACACATTAAATAAAAATAAAATGTTTTTTAAAAATAGATGGCAATTTGGTCAAAACAAAATACATTATCTCAACAGTTTTATTAAAGTAACTGAACTCATACTTAAGATGCACCTCCTCTGCCCAGAAGAGACACCTCCAAGCTTAAATACAGTGAAATCTACCAAACAGAGAACTTCATAGCCACTCTCAGAAAATACAAGAGGCAATGCATCCCAATTATTTCAGGAAGCCAGTACTAGTCTGATATCAAAACTAAACAAAGAATAAACCAACCAACCAAAATTATTGTAATCTCTCCTTACGAATTCAGAAACAAAAACCCTCAACAAAATATTAAAATTGAATTTAAAAATGTATTAAAATTATACAATATGACCAAGTAGGATTTATTCTAGGTGTGTGAGGCTGGTTTAATATCCACAAATTAATGTAATCAACCATACCAGTAAGAAAAAAATGCATATAATATCAATGAATACAGAAAAGCCATTTCACAAAACTCCTACATGATAAACCTACTCATAATTAAAACTCTCCATACTAATAACAAAGAGAACTAAGAATACAGGAAAAGTTCCTCAGCTTAATAAAGAGCACCTGCCAAAAGCCTAGTTAACAATACAATTAATGGCAATGGGAACAAGGCAAGAATGTTCTCTATTTGCCTGGGACATAATAGTCTATTTTGTAATTCCCAAGAAAAATCTCAAAATAAAACTCAAAACTTCAGCTATTAAGGAAATGCAAATTAAAATCCTAATGAGATATTACCATGTATCCAACAAAGAATAGTATAAAACCAAATGCTAGCAAAGATGCAAAAATGAGAACAAATTGCGAGGGGTTAGGGACCTGGGGCTGAACGTTGCTAGAGAAGACCACCAGGAAAGATCCTGGTGGTAACAAAAATGTTTTGTATCATAGTATCTAAGGAATAACTTGGCTACAATATTGCAGCAGTTTTTTGTTTTTTTAAAAAAATATTTTATTTATTATTTTTATTTTATGTGTATGAGTATATTGCCTGCACGTATGTGAGTGCACCTGTGTTGCACAAGAGGGCTTCGGATTCCCTTGGAACTGGAGTTAAGGATGGTTCGTAGCTGCCATGTGGGTGCTGGGAATCGAACCCGGATCCTCTGCAAGAGCAGCCAGTGCTCTTAACTGCTGAGCTATCTTTCCAGCCCGTTATTGTAGCAGTTTTGTAAGATGTTATACTGAGGGTCAGCAAGATGACTCACTTGGTAAAGGTGATTATCACCAAGCCTGACAACCTGAGTTCAATTCCTGGGACCCACATGGTAGAATGAGAAAACTGACTTCCATATGCTGTCCTCTCTCCTTCACACTCTCCTCCAAAGGGTCTATTATTTCTTATAACTGCATGCTAGTTTTATAATTATCTCAAGATAAAGCTTAATAAAAAATATGTTATTAAGACTGGAGAGATGGCTCAGTGGTTAAGAGTACTGGTTCTGGGCTGGAAAGATGGCTCAGCAGTTAAGAACACTGAGTGTTCCTGCAGAAGACCCGGGTTCGAATCCCAGTGCCTACATGGCAGCTAATAACTGTCCGCAACTCCAGTTCCAGGGGATCCAACAGTCTCTTCTGTCCTCTGCAGGCAGTGCACAACATGGGTGCACTTACCTACATACAGGCAATACATGCATACACATGTTATCCCCAGGTTGGTTCCTTGGGATCTGACGCCCTCTTCTGGCCTTTTCAGGCACTGTACACACATGGTACACTTAAATACATGCAGGCAAAATACTCATACACATAAAATAAAAATAAATAAATAGCTGGCTGTGATGGCATGGACCTATAATCTCAGCACTTGGGAGGTGGAGGCAGGAAGAACAAAAGTTCAAGGCTGGCCTCTCCCTCATAGCAAGTTCAAGACCAGCCTGGGCTACATGAGACCCTGTCTCAAATAAACCAAAACCAAAACCACATTTATTATATAATCATAAAATAAAGTGAGATAATGAGAATGGACCAGTAGTTTCAGGTTCTCTCCTCCACAGAAGGAGGCCCAAGGACAGCAAAAGGAGAAGCAAATGAATAAGGTACCTGTACTTCCTGTCCTAAGCCTTTCCGACAGAGTGACTCAACTGCTATTAGCTTAGTATGTCTATCCTAAAGAATGCAATGCTTGAAGGAAGAGTTCCATGGTCAAAACTGTAGTAGCTGCAAGCTGGGCATGGTAGCACATACATGTAATCCCAGCACTAGGAAGGCTGAGGCTGCCTGGGCTACTTAGCAAGACCCTTTCACAAAAGCAAACAAACCAAAAGTACAGCAGCTACAATGGCTTGGAAGATCTGAGAGCCCATGGCCATACACAGACCATGTTCCTACTCAGCATATAGAATCCAGGCACTCTGCTGCTTCTCTACTCAGCTGGGTAGGGAACAAAATGAACCCCTTTCCCTTCAATCAGGAGCTGTGTGTAATACAAGAAAGCCTTTATCTCCCTGGTGGGTATTTTCCTGTAGAAATCAGCCCTGATTCAAGAACTATCTTTTTTTTTTAACTTAAAAAAAATTATTGAACATTTCATATATGCATATAAAGGTGTTCTGATCAAATCCATGCCCACTCCCTCCCCTCCAACTCCTCCCATATCTCCCCATCACTTTTTCCTGAACAATTTTGGGTATTCTTTCTTTTTTGTTTCTTTATGGGGCTTTTTGCTACTCTAACATTCCCCCCTCTAAAGAGGTAACTCTAAAATCTTTTAGGAATTAGATAAGAGCTCCCAAATACTTTTGACATTTTTGGCCTTTGGAACAGAGTATGTTGCTAACAGGCCCAAGGACATTTTGACTTTTAGCCAAGAAACTGGCTACTTTTCTTTGGGGTCTTTTTACCCTAACTGCCTAGCCAATTCCTACCTCCTATTCTTATCACACCATCCATTAAGAGGTTACCCAACTTGTGGATAGGGAATTGGGATGCAGACCACTCTGGCTTATTCCATGCTGAACAGGGATGCAGGGTGAGGTAACTGTGGTGCCCCTTCAGTGGGTCTATCTAAGACTCCCACATTGCATAACTCTTAACCGTAGGGCGAAAAGAAAGTCCTTGACTGGTACCTAGGCGATGTGAAGGAGAAGAAAAGGCAAGAGTAGTTAGCATTACAAGTTCTAGACAGGGAACCAGAAAAAAGTCAAAACAAGGGAAATTTCAAATGGAGAACTGTCAAGTCTTAAAGCAGACGTTCTCATAGATTTTCCTCGTCTTAGAAGAACAAATGCCATTTTGGTAGTGAGATGACAATCATCCTGTCTGATGCAGAAAGGGCAAGGCAGACAGGGTTATACTTCTTAGCAAACCGGTGTACACAGATTTGAGAGACAAAGATTCCTACCCACAAGAGGCAACCCACAATGACTTTATAAGGAGGACCAGATAGAAGTAGGCTAGAGAACTACAGCACCACACTGCAGCTGGAAGCAGAGGGAGGGAAGGAAGCCAGTAGGAAGGTGATCCATAGCCAGTTCTCAGGGTCTATGCTTCCATAAGATGATTCCTGGTGATGAGACTTTCCTCCTTTTTGCATTACTAAAAAGAGGGCTCAGCACACATGAAGACTAGGTTTGACCTATAGTACCACAAAAGGAAACATATATATTTCAAGCCTTTAAAAAAAGGAAAAAAATGAAAGTCTAAGAAACTATACTAGTTAAAATGAATTAGAGACATAAAAATTAATGCAATGTGCAATTTTTAAGTGAATAAGAAAACAAAAACAAAGATGATCTCTGAAGGACACTATTGGGATAGGTACAGAAATCTGAATGGAGACTGCATAGGAAATGATACTATATCAATGCTACATTCCTGATTGTGACAAGTATTTAAAGGTTAAAGAGGAAGCTGCTCTTTTTTTGTTTGTTTGTCTTTTTGAGACAGGGTCTCTCTTAGTCCCAGCAGTCCTGGAACTCACTATGTAGACCAGGCTGGCCTTGAACTCACAGAGATCTGCCTGCCTCTGCCTCCCGAGTGCTGGAATTAAAGGTGTGCTCTTCTAAGAATAGGTTTCTGGTCTGGGGAGAAGGCTCAGGGGGTGAAGCACTTCTGACTGAAGTGTGAGGACTTGAATTCCAATCCCCAGAACCCACATAAAGTGGCATGCATCTGTAACCTCAGTGTTCTGTTAGGCAGAGACAGAATTCCTGGAAGTTTACAGGCCAGCTAGCCTGGGGTATACAGTGACAAAACAACAGAAACCCTGCTTAAACAATGTGGAAGGTAAGGACTGATGACCAAGACTGTCTTCTGACCTTCAAATACATGCTGTGGAACACGCACGCGCATATCACACACATGCATTCATACACACACACACACACACACACACACACACACACAGAGTTATATGCTACAATATTTAGGGATTTAAGTTCATAAAGTCTGCAAATAATTCCCAGATGGTTCAAGAACAAAAAATAGTATAAGAAAATTAATTAAAAGCAGCAAAATGTTAAATTGGTGAATTTAGGTGATGGCTAAGTGGATGTCTAAAGCATATCTTTGCAAACATCTCTCTTCTATAGCTTACAAATTTCAAAATATAAGCTTAGGATGTCAACTGAATGAGAAGTCACAAATTGGGAGAAAATATTTGGCGACTACTTATCAGATAAGGAATTGTCATCCAAAACATACAATGAACTCTTAAAGCTCAGTAAGAAATGAACAACCTAAGTTAAAATTGAGCACAGGATCTGAATAGACCTCATCAAAGAAAAAGTACACAGAGCAAGTAAGTTTAAGAGAGATGCTCCATATCCTGTCTCTAGAGTTCTACACTAAACGCAATGAGACTCCACCTATGACAATGGCCAAATGGCCAAATGTTGACAAGGGTGTGGAACAGCAGAAATTCTCTTCTTTCTTTGCTGTCAGGAATGAAAAACAGTGCAGTCGCCTGGAAAGACAGTTTGTATGGAATCACTTTCCAGTCACATGTCATTCTGGAAAAGGTAACAGGATCAGTGCCTCCCAGGGATGGTAAGGAATGAACCGGTGAAAAGCAACCAGTTTTTACAGTGTGAAACTACTCCACATGACATGATGTGAATACAACATTAAATGTACATTTAAAACTATAGAATGTACAACAAGAGCAAACCCTAATATGGAGGCGGTGTATCAATGCAGGCATATGGCTTGTAACAGAGGCACCACTTTGGTGCCAGATGATGATGGGGAAAGCCATATGCTGGGAACTGTAGGCAGATGGGAACAAATCTTCTGATCTAAAAAGTAAAGTTTATTAAAGAAAAAAAAAAGCTAGGGATAAAATGAATAGTTGATTAGGCAAACTTCCTCTGAGGAGTCTACTCTTTTTAAAATATGTATTTTATTGTGTGTGTGCATGTGTGTAAGTATACTCATGCCAAGATGCATATATGGAGGTCAGAGGGCAACTCTCTAGAGTCATCAGATCTCTCCTGCCACTTTGTGAGATCCAGGGATGGAACTCAAGCTGTCAGGCCTTCAAGCAAACAACTTTATTTGCAAGTGCCTCTGCCCACTGAGCAGGCTGGCCCCTGAGGCACCTACTCTTGACTGAACTAGTTGGCTTAGCCCTAACTCTGTAGCCACTGTTAATATCTGTGGATGCTTGAACGCATCATTTTACTTCATGGGACATTTTCTATGTGAGTTTTCTTTTAAATATAAAATAACAGAGAAGAGAACTGAGAACTGACTGTGCCAGGAAGGAAAGTTCTTCTGTCAATCTCACTTAATTCTCTTGGCACTTCTAACCTATTCCTCATTTCTTGCCATTTATTCTCCCTTCCTTTTCTCAGGGAAAAGTATCATTTGGAAGTACCTGTGGAAATCACTCAGGTCTTCTGCACCAATATAATCATTTAAGTTCAGAGTCAAGTCTGCCACTTGCTGTGTGCCATATTCCTAGAAAAATGAAAACAGAAAATGAGAGATGGGGTGAGGGGGCAATATTTCTGGGTTAATTAGGTATAGGTGAAGGCAGGCAAGGAATTGAGGTACCCAATGGTCACACAACTCTAACTTGGAATGACATGGAGAAGCAGGCCCAGCTAGAGCCACATCATCAGTGGCTAATGAGGAGCACCAGACCAGCAGTATTGGTTAGTACCTAAGGCTGGAAGTGGGTAACAGCAATGGTTTCTAGGTTTGGGGTATAGATTTTAGAAGTACAGCTTTTAATCTATTTCAGTAAGCTGATTCAGTTCTTTTATCTGCTTAAACTAACCTGGAGAGACTCCATCATTTACAACTAAGATCTAAACGCTCAACAATAAGGGAAAGGGCAGTGGACTAATGTGTGACACTTAAAGAGAATGGAGTTTATCTGTCTGTGCTCTTATATAAAGACCTATAAAACACATTGAATGGAAAAAGCCAAGTATGGTGTAATACAGCCAGGCACTTTCATGAACACAAACAGGCAACCAAGACAGAACAAGAAAGTCACTGTCCTCAATGTGCCCACAGTTCAAGGGCAAACGATAGGCATCAATGTAAAGCACAAGTAAGTGCATAAGGAAAGCAAATAAACTGATGGAGTGGAGAGCCATCATCTAGACTTTCTCAGCAGGTGGGATGGATAGTCAGGACTGAGCTTCACAAGTAAGTAAAAAAAAAAAAGACAGGAGCTTAGGCAGGCTGAAGGAATGTCAGAATGATGGGTGGTGGGGAGTAGGGTATGCATGGTGCGGAGTACGGTATGCATATGTGTGATGTGGTGAAGTGAGGGTAGTTTCCAGCACAAGAAACACGAAATATAAGGCTCCCAAGTAGCAAAACCTCTACTTATTTAAGAAACTAAAAGATCTGGTACTATAGTAGCCTTTTTGCCGTGAAGAGAAAGTCTCTCTTTTGCAAGACAGGCAATGAATACCTTTGCACACAAAGCTTTTCTGTATATATTGTATATACTTTTTTTTACCTCAGAAGAAAGATCCAGATGTGAGATTGCTAGTAAAAGCTTTGGAACATTAGTAGCTCTGGATCCACACTGTTACAACGGATTTCTAAACAGTCATCCCAATGCCCCCACCATCAGCAGCCCTACAGCCGCAGAGGCTCACCAGTACATTGATGATCATGCTGTTCTCCACAGTGACAGCTTTCAAGAGGAGTTTTCTGGCCCCATCCTTAGACTCATACCGGAGGACATACAGATCTTTATTGCTGTTCCATGTGGGTGGCAGCAGTTCTGACTTCTTATCACTGGGACCTGGCTGAGAAGACACCACGGTTGAGAAGAGAAAGATCATGACCTCAAAACACAAAGCTATAAAGGACTGTATTACTACAGTCTAATTTCACTCCTCATATCACAGTGAAGTGGTATGTCTCAGAACATATACAAGTCAGAGGTCTAGGACCCAGTGCTCTCACCCAGGTGTCTGGTTGCCTTGATGATACAACACAGGAGGAATGTGTCAAGAAGCTGCAGCCTTGGGCTGGGAATATACCTCAGCGGTAGAGTGCTTGGCTAGCATGTGTGAGGCCCTAAGTTTAATTCTTAGAAACACACACACACACACACACACACACACACACACACACACACAGCAGTAACAACAATTAAAAAAATCCTACAGCCTTGGCTTAATCACCACCTCCTCTCTATTGTCCTGCTAAAAATCAGACCAATCATCTCAAGGGTCACTGTGAAATTCTAAAGCAGTGTTATCCACAGTTCAGACTCTGGGTTATCTGTGATAGGATCACCAAAAAGTTGACTAAAAGGAAGACCCTAATGGAGACTCCTCAACCAACTGCAGTGGTTTAACAAAACTCATGAACAATCATCATATACACTCCAAATGTAGTATATAGAAAGATTAAAAAATTATAAACTAGAACCCTATATAGTGATCACCAGCTTAGGAAACATGGTATGTCCAGTCACTAAACATTATCACTAAAGCCGTGAACTTGTCTCCTTCTCCATGGATAGTAGCCAATACTCTATTTTTAGGACTTTTAAACTTTTCCTTCACACTGCATTACTACACATGCAATCACAAAAATATGGTGCTTCAAATGCTTCTGAATTCAATCACCCACTCTTCACCTTATTTTCTGAGGCATGGTCTCTCATTGAACCTGGAGCTCTTTGATTAAGCTGGCCAATAAGCTCCAGGGATGTGTCTCTCCCTCTTCACCCCTGACCTTTACCCTCTCCACAGCCCTGGGTATGGCTGGGGTTGCACACCCTTGTGTCTGGCTTTTCTCTGGGTCCTAGGAATCTGAACTCTGGTGTTCATGCTGGCATGGCAGGCACCAACTGAGTCTGTCCTCAGCCCAACACTTGCCCTTTTTATTCAATATTGTTTCTGGATGCTCACTCATGTAGATGCATTTATCTGCACCTGATTCACTATACAACTATGCAGTGTTCCATCAAATCATTATGCTGCAATTCACACATGTGCTGGTTAATGGAGATTAGAAGTACTTCTAGTCTACTTCTTCCATTATAAACAATGCAGCTATGAACACATTGTACACATGGCCTGAAGGAAGAACTTATAAAAGCACACTGGTCACAAGACAGTGATGGGCACTCCCACTTGCAGTATGCAAGCCCTGGTGTTGGAAACATTGTTATTATTCACTTGCTAATTTTTACTAATTTAGTGGATTGTAAAATGCATCTTTAAAAACAAGTTTTTATTATTTTTATGTGTATGAGTGTTTTGCCTGCATGTAGGTTAGTGTATCCATGTCCTGCAATGCCTATAGAGGACAGAAGAGAATGTTAGATCCCCTGGAACTGGAGTTACAGTTATTAGCTGCCATGTGGGTGCTGAGAACTGAACCCAGGTTCTCTGCAAGAGCAGCCAGTGCTCATAACTGCTGAGCCATCTCTCCAGCCCCTGTAAAATGTATCTTGCTATGAGTTATGATGTTCTCCTTTCCCTACTTAATAATTCTAAGCTTTCCCTTTCACACATTATAGAGTATGAAAAAGTTTTCAAATTATCTCGATGGCAAAAATAAGTAGAGTGGTTTCTGGGTGGGAAGAGGTTCCCTATAAGAAAAACAATGCATAAGCATTTGTTCAAATACTAGCAATCAGAGCACAGCTGAAATAATGGGATCTAGGGTTACACCCATCCAACAGGCTACTACTATAGGTTTTTCCTTTTTTAAAATTATTTTTTTCCCTGGATGCTTGCCTGGGTGTGAGCAGACTTTCAGGCACTGCTGGTGGACATTTAAACTCATACAGGCCTTCTGCAGAATAAAGGACCTATGGGAGATCTGACAAGCAAAGGAGATCTTCATCTCAGCCTTGGCTAGAGCAGCCAAAGCAGAAGTAAAATGCAAAATATGCTTACAGTGGTATAGTACACAGCAGTCAGAGAGAACACACTCGATCTAAGTTAAAAAAAAAGTATGAAGAGGGACCAGAGAGAATGTAAGAGCTGGAGCGGGGGAGGAGTGCTATGAAATGCTGTGTCTGGATAAGACATGGCCATTGCAGTGACACACTCACAGCAGCTATGGCCACCTGCACAAGATCAAGACAACGACAGTTAATATTCCAGCAGGCAGCACTACTGGATTCAGTGAGTTACAAAAAGAGAGGATATAAAGGTGTGGGTGGGGTTTGAAGGGAGTGGGAGGAAGAAGTTAGGGGTGGATAGGATCAAGATAAATTGTATACATATATGAAGTTGTCAAAAAATTAATAAGGAGCCAGTGCTCAGCAGTTAAGAACACTGGCTGCTCTTCCACAGGACCTGAGTTCAGTTCCCAGCCACCCACATGATGGCTGAAAACCATCCATAAATCCAGTTCCAAGGGATCCAACGCCCTTTTCTGGCCTCCATGGGCATTGTATGACACAGGTGCAGTTACATACATGCAGGCAATACACTCATACACATAAAAATAAAAATAATAAATATTTTTAGGGGCTGGAGAGATGGCTCGACAGTTAAGAGCACTGACTGCTCTTGCAGAGGACCCGGGTTCGATTCCCAGTGCATGACACGGGTGCACTCACATACATGCAGGCAATGCACTCATACACATAAAATAAAAATAATAAAATTTTTTTTAATAAATAAAAGATCTTAAAAATACATACATAAGGGCTTATGGGAAAAGTAAGGTTTATACCCCAGTACCATTCCTGTAAGAAACTTTAAAAAGCACACATTTGTATTGTTCAGCATGGAACAACTTGATTGGAAACTGTATTCCTGAAAACAGGATGGGAAGGAGTGAGACCAGAGATGAAGAAGAAGGGGAAAAGATAAAGGTCTGGACACACAGAACCTTACAGACATAAGGGCTTATGGGAAAAGTAAGGTTTATACCCCAGTACCATTCCTGTAAGAAACTTTAAAAAGCACACATTTGTATTGTTCAGCATGGAACAACTTGATTGGAAACTGTATTCCTGAAAACAGGATGGGAAGGAGTGAGACCAGAGATGAAGAAGAAGGGGAAAAGATAAAGGTCTGGACACACAGAACCTTACAGAGGAGGCACAAGGTGAGGCCATGGATTGAGAAGTGCTGGCCTTTCCTCTTTGGCTACCCCTGGTACTTGGAAATCCATTGGGAAAGTAGTCCCAAATACTCAGGATGTTATAAGTAGCTAACTTGGCTAGATGACAATGAAAACTCACAGGCCTGAAGCAGAGACATGAGAGTGACCAGAAAATAAAAGTACAACTAACCAAGCCATACTGAGAAACTATTCTCTTACTCAAACTGTGCAGACTTCCTTTATGTTCAGTGTTGTAGGTTTTAAGGGTTACTTTGGAAGTCAGAGGTAACATGCCTTATCTCAGTTGTCAGGGCCTTTAAATTTCTACTACCTTCTGTTTCTGCTCCCCACCTTCAGCTTCCAGAGCAAGAAAGAATCCCTAGGATCAGGTAAGGCTGGCTGATGTCTCTCAAAGTGGAGAGACTATTCTCCTGAAAACAGGTGGGACTGACCAACCCTGGCATTATCAGGCCAAATATGGCATGTGGCCGCCCTCTGGCCCTGAGGTCAAATATCAAGCACCCCAGGTGGCTGTAGCTGCAAAGTAACCAAAGTGTATGGTTGTATAATTTAACTCCCTCAGACGAAAACTTTAAGGCCTGAGAGGAGCTGAGACCCACCACAGGTCAAAGCAGGTCAGGCTGGAGATTTTTCTCAGACAGATCCACTATACTGGCCCCAAGAAAATAAAGGTAACTGCCATCTTAGGCAAAATCCTGTATTGGCTACTGAACTCACTCCAGTGCCCCTAGACAAACATGCAACCAAAATAAACAAACAGGTCATCTTCCATACACTGTTTTTGCTACCTGTGTTGAGCTCCTGCAACCTAGAGATGCAGGATCCAAGTATCTTTGGGGAGGACAAGTTGACTACAGAATGGGAGTTTTGGAAGACATTGCCTGCTCCCACTGTCCACCTCAACATTAAATCCTGCATGCTCTTGGAGGGGACAGTGTATGGATTTCAGAACTAGAGCACCACATTTGTTTCTCCCTGCCCTTTCTCCTGAAGTCCTTTCAGGGCTCAGGTTACACGTGACCTTCACTCACTTCTGATGGATCTATTCTTACTCTGAGTAAAAGCCAAAAAAATCTGGAGAGGTATCTTTCCTGTTAATTTATTTAAGACAATTTAATTTCTCTGCCTGGACCAGCAGACCAATAATGCTTGCCAAACTCAGAGGATATCTGTGTTGCCTCTCCAGCCTCCTCCTGCCACCTACACTTCTGGGGATTATAAGAGAAAAACAAAGTACCAAAAGTGTGTGCTTGACTATGGTTAAACAGAAAGCTACATTTTCTGCTTTCTCTTTGGTTTTGTCTCTGCCACTGTAGAACTGTGTATGTAAAATTTGAAGAGCCATTAACCAACAAAAATCTGGCCACTGGTTTGGTCTCCTTGTTGAGATCAGGGCCACTTGTCATAAGAGCACTATAGCCGGGTCAAGTGGTTCAGGTGGCAGGGGGCCGGAGATGGCCAAAGACATGCTTAGAAAATTTGGTTCTCTGTTGTAGGAGTCTAAGGATTCAGAAGAAAAAGGAGGGGGAAAGAACAAGGCAGACATGTTCTATCTGAAGGGTGAGACCACAGGGGGATTCCAAGGTCAAAGTTAAGTCAGACTACAATTGAGAGATGTTAAAGACTAAAAAGCTGGAATGGGCAGGTGAGGACGTATAGGTTTCAAGGGGACAAGGGTTATGAACTGAGAGGGGAACATGACACTTTCGAAACCTGGGAGTTAGGGAGAAGGGGCTGTCTCTACCTGGTCCAAGGTCTGAAAGGATGAAAAGCAAGTAAGAGGAACGAAGTGCAGCATGAAGAGAAAGGCCAGGGGCAGATGAATTTGGAAGAAATGTTCTTGCTTCTGTGTGTGCGTGTAAGGCCAGCCATTCTTTTCCTGCTTTGTTTGGGAGTCCTAAAGCCCACATGAAGACTGAAGGATGAGCCTGGAGGTTGAAATAGGGGTGCTGAGGGTGCACATGGAATCCCAAGGAGCCAATAGAGGTTTGGGAGGGAGGAAAAGTGGGGGAGAAAAGGGAGAAAGGGAGAGATAAACACTTTTTGTGAACCAATTCCTTTTGATGTAAAAAGTGTAAAAGGGGTAGAGTGCTGTGAATCCTTAGTTTTATAGGATAGAGCTAGGCAGGGGCATGCCTAGCTAGGTGCTCAGAATATCCAACATGCATCTGAGGAGGGGCTTCATAAAGTGGTGTCAGAAAACTTAGTAAAACTCTGACATATATCTAAGAAGCTAAAAATAATCCAGTTTGAAAATTGATGCAGTTATAAATGGAGAAAGATTAAAATCTCACTGTAAGATCCAAGGGGTGAGGTGGCCTTCTCTCCAGAACTGGCCTGAGTTAGATGCCAGGACAGTGGAGCCCTGCATGCGCAAATATGTGTCTGTGTAGAGAATGGCTGGGAAGGGTATTTCCTCTGATGAAGCAGATGGGAAATAGAGGGGCACTAAGGGGACCAGGCTAGGTTCACCCAAAAAGCTGATCTGTAGGAAGATGTGGAGAGTGACAGTCATAGGAACCACAATGTTGGGGCAGAGAATCAGTGAGATGAGCTGGGCCCACACTGGGCCTCTATAGGGATGTCAACAAAGCAGGAGGTAGAATCTGGGGATGGGGGAGTAGGTGGGATTCGGGAGTGGACAGCTATGGGGAGGACTCTCACAGAGAAGGTGTTAGATGAAGGGTGCTGTTTCCAGGAGCCTGGGCTGTTGATGAGTTGTGAGTGGACTGTGCTGCTCCATGAGTGAAGGGTGGGGTTGTGTGAGATCTCTGTGCTTATGCTGAAGGGTGAAGAAGGGGCCCCAAACTGGGGCTGAGTAGATCAAAGCTCACCACCATACCTGCAGGTGTCTGGGGGGTGCTCTGAGTTGGGTATGTAGCATTGAGTACCACCCCACCCCAACCCGTGCCATGGCTGTGTGGTTAAGACGCTTAGCTTAGAGGAATCAGATGAGTGTGAATCCTGGGAATGCTGCAAACCTGTCTAGGTATCAGATCCACACATGGCCCGAGAGACTGCTAGGTGGTGCTGGGACGCCTGTCTGTCCTCGGGTTTGCGCTCACGCTGTGCCAGCTGTTGGCTGGGGCGCCGGGCCGGCAGACCTACGACGTCAGAGGCCTCGGGCCCCGGCTTGGCAAGGCCAGGCGAGGCCTTTAGGCCTCTAGTTCCTACTCCCTATCCACCAAGGCCAGCTCCGCGGCGTACCTGGTCGCCGACGCCCAAGCCATAGTAGCCGTTTGTCACCACTTCCCAGTGCAGGAAGCAGACGAGCGCGTCCTGCGGGCAGCTGATGGCCGGCATGGCCGACGCGAAGAGCACCTCCAAGCCCGCCATGGGCGGTCCCGGCTTCTGTGGGAAGAAAGGGAGGGAACAGAGCAGCGAGCCGAGTCGCCCCCGGGCAGCGGGACCCCACAGTGTGTGGCCTTCTGTTCTGGCTCTGTCCGCCCCTGCGCCCAAAAGCAGAAGCCGGCGCCGGAAATGGTACCAAACGCCCCCGCTCTTTTGCCAGCGCTCCGGCTGGAAACACCAACGCCGCGCTGAAAGGTTCCGCTGGCGAGCGCGCGGGTTGGGCGCGGCCATTCTATGCTGGATTCGGCATCCTCCTACAACCTGCGTGCTAGGCGTTACATCCTTATCCTCCGGGAGAGGCCACTTGGCTACCGTAGACCTCCCATTCGCAAAGTGGGGTGTGTGCTAGACCGAGTTAGAATTTAAGAAATCTGGGTTAGATATATTCATAATAGTTATTAGCACACATGCAGTGCTTGCCACGTGCCACCTTATTCTAAATGCTCAACGTGTGTGCATTTATTGAGGCCCCTAGATCCAACCTTATACCGTTGATATTAATGATAATATCACTTAATTGGCTCTTGGAACCTGGCAGCTTGACTTCTAGGATAGCATTTATTACATGTTCGTTGTGTGCTAAATCTGGTTCCAAAACCTTTACATCAACAAATTCACGGAGTATATTTGTTACTCATCCTTATTTTACAAATGCCAAAATAGATCAGAGAGTTGAAGCGACTTTCTCCAAGAAAACAAAGCTACTACCACAGAGCTGGAGCTCCTGACCCAATTACCAAATGTTAGCTAGCTGCTTGTTTG